CCCCCGCCAGCCCGGCACACAACAGCCGCTGGCTGCCGGTCAGCCGACTGTCCCGTTTCCAAGTAGCCATCGCGCCCCGCTGGCCTCGGTGGCTCAGAGGCAAAGTGTGTGGCTCCAGGAGGGTGCTCCTGGGATGCCAGCAGAGGGCAGGGCAGAGCAGGCGGGCACCTCCAGGGGTAGGCCCCGCCCACCCGGCGTGGGGCGGAGTCGCGAGAGCGACATGAGGCCCCGCCCAGACCGAGCAGGGCCTGCATGTTCTGAGGAGGGCTGTGGACCAGCAGGTGGGGGGTTTGGGGGGAGGCCGTTGAGGCCTGGTGGATTTCGCGTCTGTCCCTCAGTTGTCCTGCCAGGAATTTCAGTTGAGAAAGTCACCAAGTTCTTGTCCTGGGTCTGGCCTGCCAGACTTCTCCTAGTCCTCACCACTCCGCTGCCTCTCATCCTTTGCCCCTTTTCTCCTTTCCACGTTCCAACTCTCCCTCTTCCTTTCCTGGCTTGTTTCCCCTTCCCTCCAAGCTCTCTTTGGGTGCCCCATGCCAAAGCCTTGGAGTTTTCCAGTGCAGAAAGGAAAAGCTTTCTATAGTGAAAGCAAGAACAACTGCCACCCATAGAATGCTTCTCAGGTACTGGGTCTCAATACAGCAGCCTGTAGGAGGTAACCGATTCTTGCTGTCCTCATTTAGACAGACTGGAGCCCTGGTGGTATAGTGGGTGGTGTGTCGGGCTGCTAACTCCAAGGTCAGCACTTTGAACCCACCTGCGGCTCCATGGGAGAACGATGAGACTCTCTACTCCCATACAGATGGAGAGTCTCAGAAACTCACAGAGGCAGTTCTGTTCTGTTCCCAGAGTCTCTAGGAGTGAGAATCGAGTTGGTGGCCGTGAGTATCTCAGATTCTAGAACCGGTGTTAGAATCTTGACTCTGCAGCTTACTGACTGCGTGGACCTGGTCAATTCATGCAACTTCTCTGGGTCTCGGTGGCTTCATCTCTATTGCAGAAAATAGTTCTTCCCTGTACTGGCATCGCTCTGAATCCAAATTTGCTGGGGCGGTGGGTGGAGTCACTTGATAGCGTCTGACAGCAACAGGTGCTCTTTTGGGGAACGCCACCCCAGTCCAGGCAGGCCGAGCTTGTCTGGACAGGCTAAAAGATGGAATGAGGGGTGGATGAACAGAGATTTCCTGAGAGATGGCTCCTCACTATATTCATCTTCACCAACTTGGCGGGCGGTCGGGGGTCAGAAGAGTGGGGGTTGGAGCAGGCCTCAGCTGAGTTAGGATGATGATGAGGAATGGGTTAGCAAGATAAATGTACATGTGTATCTGGGTGACCAAAGGGCCCAGGAGAAAATGCTTGGTAGAGGGAGAGGACCAAATTCCTTGACACAAAAGGGCCAACAATTTCTGTTCCCAGAGGTAACAAAAACCAAACCAGTTGTCCTGGAGTCCAGTATAAACCATGGTGATGCCATGTGGGTCAGACTAGAACCTTGCTTCAAGGGGGGTTTCTTTCTTTTTTTAATCATCTTGTTAGGGGTTCATACAACTCTTTTAAAAAAATCATTTTATTAGGTGCTTGTACAACTCTTATCACAATCCAGTGTATCAGTGTACCAGTGTACATCCTCTGGTCTAGCCAAATTTGTAAGGTGGAATTGGGATCATGATAGTGGGGTGGGGGGACAGGGAGGAAGCATTTAGGAACTAGAGGAAAATTGTGTTTCATCTTTGCTACACTGCACCCTGACTGGCTCGTCTCCTCCCAGTGACCCTTCCATAAGGGGATGTCCAGTTGCCTACAGTTGGCTTTGGGCCTCCACTCTGCACTCCCCCTTATTCAAATATGATTTTTTGTTCTGATGATCCCTGATCCCTTCAACACCTCATGATCACACAGGCTGGTGTGCTTCTTCCATGTGGGCTTTGTTGCTTTTGAGCTAGATGGCCACTTGTTTACCTTCAAGCCTTTAAGACCCCAGACAATATATCTTTTGATAGCCAGGCACCATCAGCTTTCTTCACCACATTTGCTTATGCACCCATTTGTCTTCAGCGATCGTATCGGGGATGTGAGCACACAATGATATGATTTTTTGTTCCTTGATGCCTAATAACTGATCCCTTTGGCACCTCGTGATCACGCAGGCTGGTGTGCTTCTTCCATGTGGGCTTGCTCCAAGGGGTTTTCAATGCCTGCTTTTTCTGCAGTAGATGACCAGGCCATTCTTCTGAGGCATGTGTAACTTCATGCCTGTGCCTCCTAGCGATTACTGTCCCCTTCAGAACCAAACTCACTGCCATCGAGGGGTTAGTGGGTATGAAACACTGACCTTGAGGTGACCAGACCAACGCTTGCCTAGAAGTGCTACAAAGGCTGTACCTTCTACCTTCCACTACCACCTAAATGCAGCTTGACTTTAGGGACCAACTTGGACTGCAACTTTCCCTCTCCAAACTACCAGTAGTCGCCTCCACTTATTGCCTCACTCCATAACCACCCACTAGAATGTTCTGAGGTAAAGGTCTAAAGATATACATGAGGTATGAGCCTAAAGCTTCTCTCCCAGGTCAAGAGCTCAAGAGGAGGCACCATCTATGACTATGAACTGCTCTGAAAAGGATCACATTAGAAGACCCTGATAGAATGGGACAAAATTATAGAACAAAACTCAGAATGATTAAAAAAAAGACCAGGATTTTTGGTCAGATAGAGACAGGTGGAATCCCTGAGACTATGGCCCTTTAGGCCTGGACACCATCTGGAAAACCCTGGTAGCATAGTGGTTGTGAATTCAGCTACAATCCACAAGGTCCATAGTTCAAAACCACTAGCCCCTCCAAGGGAGAAAGATAGACCTTTCCACTGTCATAAACAGTGACAGTCTTGGAAACTCACAGAGGCAGTTCTGCTCTGTCCTATTGGGTCATTATGAGTTGGCATCAACTGCATAGCAGCGAGTTTGTTTTTTTTTTGGTTTGGGCATCCTCTAGTTCAGTGGTTCTCAACCTGTGGGTCACGACCCCTTTGGGGGTCAAACAACCCTCAACCCTATCACAGGGGTCGCTTAAGACCATCGGAAAACACATAATTCCGATAGTCTTAGCAACCATAACACCGCTCCTCTATCCCCGTCTCCAGGCGGGTCTGCCCATGTGCAGATATGCCCTCATAGGAGTAACCTGTGGTGAGACTGTTCCCCATGCTACCCCATGCTTCAAGACAAAATTTCATTTATTTGTCTTTAGAAATAAATATTGAACAATATATAATTACATATTGTTTTGTGATGAATCATTATGCTTTATTTATGTTCAATTTGTAACAATGAAAATACATCCTGCATATCAGATATTTACGGTACATTACGATTCCTAACAGTAGCAAGATAGCAGTTATGAAGTAACAACGAAAATAATTTCTGGTTGGGGGTCACCACCACATGAGGAACTGTGTGAAAGGGTCCCGCCATTGGGAAGGTTGAGAACTGCTGCTCTAGTTCTTCTGGTCTCGGGCTGTCGAGACTGATGGTTGCGTGATCTATTAGTTCCCTGGTCTAATTGTGTCCAAGGGTCTTCCAAGTGTCATCACTCTTCTTTCACCTGGATGGGGAGAGGCCAGTAGTTACATCTTAGCTGGCTGGGAGTCCAGCCATACTCACCTCTGTTGCCTGCAAGGCCCAGTCACTACTCACCAAGGTCAGCTGTAGAACGTTGTCTTTGTGGACTGTGTGGTGCCAATTGACCTTGCTGCCTCCAGAGACTATGATTCTGAGTTTCCAGGCCCAGTGCCTCATTCTCTCAAGGTATTTGGTTATGACTAAGAAGTGTTCACAACTTTGCCTGCCCGTGGCCTCCCCCACCCCTGCCACTGTATGCTCTACTATGTTCATGGCTATAACTGCAACCAAATAAGTCAAATTCACTGCCATGGGGTCAATGCTGACTCATACTGATGCTGGGTTTCCTGACATAGTAATTCTTTGCAGGAGTAGAAAGCCCTATCCTTCTCCTGATGAAAAGCTGGTGGTTTTGAACTATTGACCTTGCAGCTAGCGGCCCAGTACATAACCACTACACCACCAGGGATATAACTGCTGCATAGGTAAATAAAGCCCACTGCCTTCAAGTCAATCCTGACTCATAGCAACCCTGAAAGGACAGAGTAGAACTGCTCCTTAGTGTTTCTGAAACGAAATCCGCCCCCCCCCCCGCTATTAATTTAATAGGGTGCAAGCTAATGTAAACAGCGTTGACTTGATGGCAGTGAGTTTAGTGTTAATAGGGATAAATGGCTTGTATGTGCTACTAACTGGAAGGTTGGTGGTTCTAATCTTCTCAGTGGTGCTACAGAAGAAGGGCTTGGCTCTCACGGCTATTAAGAACCCTGTGGATAGCAGTTCTACGCTAGAAGTACGTGGGTTGTCCTTCTCTAAAACATGTTCTCCATTCTGTACATGAGTTCACGTGGTTACAGGGCCTTGCTATCTCCAGTATACTCTGAAGCACGGGAGGGTGGGGGGGGTAGTCTTGGGGTTTACTGTTGTACTCACCAACCTTATCTCTAGGGAGCACGCTAGCCATACTTCTTTCAAGACAAGTTTATTTCTCCTCTTAGCATTTCACGGTACTATGCATATTCTTTGTTAGTACCATAATTCAAATGCATTGCTTCTTCAGTCTTCCTTATTCAATGTCCACCTTTCACATGCACATGAGGCGATTGAAAATACCATGACTTGGGTCAGTGCACCTCAGACCTCAAAGTAACATGACTGAAAGTGAGCAGAAACAGCTGTAATTATCTAGTACTTATCAGACCTTGAAATGTATGAAGCATGAATCTAGGAAAATTGAAGGCATAAAAAATGAAAGGATGTTACATTCATTGTCATGAAAGGATATTTCAAGATACATCTTGTAGAATAATGCAGTCTGCAATAGATTATATCTATCCACATACAAGGAAACCCAGTCAATACAACTATTATTCAAATTGATGCAGCAACTACTAAAGCTAATCTGGGTTTCATACACAGAAAATCATACATTAATACAGACATGATATAATGAA